TGCTGAACTTAATTTTCCTCTTATAAAGCAAGCATTTTGCTTGAACAGCTCAAATTATCCTTTCTTCTCCCATCATTTAACACAATTACCCATAATTTGGAAAATCTTTCTTGTAGAAGTGAAGAAGTCCTCAGGAGAGATCACTAATTTAAAAGACTAGTACAACCAAGGGTATTGAATTGATCTGCATATTTCATTCTCCCCAATGGTGAATTAAAGAAGTTTTGCAAAATGACAGATGAAATGCCTCGTTCATTTCTTAAATTGAATGCCTTCTTTGCAACAAATGGAACACAAAAGAATGAAAAGGTTTCAATGCTAACTGTAGACCTCCTGCAAACACTATATTCTTCCGGGAAGTTCCACATTACCCAGTGCATTTTGTTTCTTGCTTGGTAAAAGAAGTTGTATGAGCTTGTGCTGCTCAAAGAATATACTTTTTCATACTTCATCTCAGCTCCTGGATGAACAATTCCCATTTTAATTAGTCATTTCCATGTCAAGCCAAGCAAAATTGGGTAAAAAGGCCATGTATAAACCAGGAGTATTTTAATTAAAACAATTTGGACCCAGGGACAACGAAGATAGAACATTGCGGGGGGGGGGGGGGGGGGGGTCCCCTCTGTCCCTCCAAGTATTCAAGAAACCATTAAGGCAGAGTACCTGTGACTAATCCTTGATGAAAATTTAAGGCTTAAGGTCTCCAAAAAAAACAGAAACTAGGCCTTTTGTTACAAAGTCACTGTACAGCAAGACAAGAACAGTAACAGAACTACCAGTCATGAGACAAGCGTAAGATAGAGAATGTGTACATAGCATTTTTAATGCTATAGCCCTTGACAGTATTAAGCTTGACTTTTTAATAAAAGCTGAATGAGTAAAACAGCATCACATAGTAAAATACTTCATGTGTCTAGGTGTTGCGGCAGACAAATATGAAATGTTTATCAAAGTTTTAAAGATAAATTTTGAAATAACATTTGGCAACACATATACAAGCCCATATTATCATACTTGAGGGTCTTTTTAATGAGAAAAAGAAATACTACATTTTTATGACCTATATCTTTTTCATTCTGAGTTGTATTACTCGAGTTCAAAGAAACTGGTTATTATCCTACTTCAAGGAAGAATGGATCTGAGTCAACCCTTCTGACATCGGTTTTGCAGTCTGCAGGAAAACGAGGCCATTAAACTGGGTAAATATTTGAAGTTGTTTTATAATTCAGGTTGAAACATGAAAGTTGCCATAAAGACTTAAGGTACAGACTCGTTCTCCACTACCCTGCATTAAAACTAGTATTTCCCACTTTTTCTCCCATTTAAGACGTGGGCCATACGTAATTTCAGAAAAAGTTAAGTTTTTGAAAATTGCTATGTCAGTTGTATGTCACCAACCACTTTGCCTCGTTCTCAAACATGAAGACCACTTGTTTACAGTCTTCGTGGCATCTGCGTAAAGTTACTTATGTGGGAAGTATTACAGCCATCTTTTAATATGATTTGGCACAGACAAAAAACCTGATAGAGAGCCAATCCCATGTGGAAAACCTATTAGTGGTTCAATAAGCTGAAAGAATAATACTCCTGTAATGTATGTTTAGGGTTTTTGAAAAGGGGGCCTCGTTTCATTAAAGGGAAAATAAGAAACAATATCATGTACCTTCCATTACTGAAATGGTACTACTGACAGGAACTGTTGCTACAGGGAAGATACATCTGCATACCCAAGGTAAGAGGAAGAAAACACTTTGAGATGTAATTATTCTACAATTAACAATGGGTAGCTCAAACACGTTCTTACTTGTTGATCAAAATAAGAAAGACAACAGTTTTTTTAAAAGGTCAGCTTATATTGAAAATATCTTTGTATAAACAGCTGTAATACTACAAAGTAGTATCAATACAAAACAGATCAATATTAACTGTTCTTTAAACTGTTAAACTTTATTATAAATTAAAATTTCTTTACAAAAAAATTGCACATAATTGACCACTCTTAGGTTCTGATGCACTGGCATTTGCAATAGTTTCTTTAATCTTCAAGTTTAATAGTCTCTGCCGTGAGTCCAATGCAGAAAAGGGCAGTAAGCAACCCTCTTAGAGCCTTCAAGTGCAAGAAGCATACTTGTGGCCACGGCAGTTACACTTTCCTTAAAGAGCGGCTGCTTTTGTTTTAAATCCTGTAATGAAAAAGTCTCAAAAAAGGTTTAAAAAAAAAGGAAAAACCCAAAGTGGACTACTTGCTTTTTTACTGTAAACACAGCCCAGTAAATTAATCCCAAACACAGATCTCTCAGGCATCAGTGAGAGTGTCAAGTGAATCAGGAACAGCAAAACAAAGAAAACAGAAAATAAAAGGAAAACATAAAAAAAAAAAAGTCTGTCATTTTGATTAACTATACTTACGTACATGATGTTATGAGAATCTGGCAGGGCCCAGAAGCAAGGCCAGACAGGGAGTTCATTTATCCAGAGAGGAGGGTCATGTTAATTGTTTCCAGGTTCAAGGAAAGCAGATTGGAGACTTGATATGCTCAGCAATACTCATCTGCCTTACACAGATCTTAGGCATGGATCAGCCTGAAGAATCATTCAATTGATTTTGGCATTTAATAGGACTTAGGGCTGACCATACTCAGTGTTCAGTGATTCTTGCTTTCTGTTCTGTAAGTGTTTAAATTTAAAAGCTCATCTAGGCTGACTCCAACCTCTTGGCACTTGGAAACTAGTTTTCTCAGGTTATCAGTTTTACCTCCTCCTGATGCTTCAAACAAGAGTTGCTGTAAGAGATGGGGAAGCAGATATAAGATTTAGCCAGAGCTTAAGCATCACCACATCTATGGATATGGGATATGCAGAAAATTTATATGAAACCTCAAACTGAAACATAAGGAGAAAACATTACATCTTTCCACAGTGTTGCACATAGAGGTAACTTCTGAAGGGCTCTCTGATATAAATGATGGACCTGTAAAATAAAAACAAATACTAAGTCAAAACAACTTTGTGTACTCAAAACATAATGAGTGAGCTGAAGCACAGAAATCTGTTACAATGATGTTTTTCATTCATTGTTAAAAACACAGGTTGCAAAGTTGAGCGTTACGTTTACTACAAGCAAAGGCTAGTTTATGTCTGGCCTTAATTCTGACCCTTGTATGCATAAGATGATTTACAAAAGGACATTCTGTTTTTCTTCACAAGACTTTTGCCTCATTCATTGCACAGGATGGATCATGGAATGAAGCAGCTTACTCAATATTTCTCTTTCACCACTCAATATGTAGTCCCAAGGTCTTGCTTACTGCATAACATCCCAACCCTGTAATGAAAATAACTGTTTCATAGGCTTTTCCTATAGCATCTCTCTATCCGTGCTTTAACGATCAGTATTTGTCTGCATCCCTAGCAAGATAAGTTTTTTTGTTTGCTTGTTTTTTAAACATCATTTTATAGCTAGAGATGTAGGACCAAGGAGTTTAATGCAAATATTTACTCAAGTCTCCTTCAACTTCTGATATTTGAAGTACCAAGACTACTCAGAGAGCGATGGAAGTGTGTGTGTGTGTGGCGGGGGCGGGGGGGCAGGTTTTATTATTTTACATTCTTATACCTATCTGTATATACTTTTAGCAGTCCTTTAAATGAGCTGCTGAAGGGAATCAATGATAGGGTCTCCAGGAATAGGAAATTCAGAATTTGAATCATAATTCACTCTTCAAAAACATCCTATTTGGTTCCTCTAAATCCCAATTATTTACAACTCGCTGATTCCACAGACAGCTGTAATGTGGTGAGCTGTAAGTGCTCACCACATTCCAAACTAAGCACACATTTTCCCACCCCACCCCAAAAAACTCAAAAAAGAAAAAAACACTGCACTATGTGTGTGCCTAATTATTTTTCTGCACACTGTAGAGAAAGTCAGGAAGTCACAGAAGAAATCCACAAGATTTCTTCTGGGTATAATCCAGCTATGATATTTTACATATGCCTTAATTCTAATTGGTTTATTTTCTATAGAGACCTTTTATGTTCATTTTTGAAATATAATCTTCCATTTTTGAAAACAAAGAAAGCAGGGATCTTATAAGTCAACAGCCTCATTACATTCAGTGCCTTAAATGTTGTCCATCTAATACAACGACTGAAACAGGGATCTGCGACTAGTTACAGATTATACCAAACCATCTACACAGAGACAGAATTAAGGTTGAAGCAGCAACCATACCTTTGGTATCTCCTGACTTTGAACTAAGTGATTTTATAAATTAAATAACTGGCGAGTTTGTTTGTTTGTTTTTTAGACACACTAGGAAAAAAGGAATAAAGATTTCACTTGTGAATCTAATAATAGCCATGCAACCCAATATGAATCCCTTAGGGCTTTAGTACTGTTTCAACAGAAACGCTGAAAGAAGAGTAGGGTGCCAAGAATCAGCTACTGTAAGAATGACATGTATCAAGATAGTGGGTTACATATAACGGCAGAGAAGTTGCTCAAACACCACAAACAAATGGTGAGTCAAAAACCCAGGGCCTCGTGATCCCCCAATACAGAGTATCTTTCCACAGGCAAAAGAATATTTTGATGGGGACAGCAACAACACCAGGAAAATCCATTGTTTGAACTGAAAAGTGATTCAGAGTTGCTGTGCTGAAACTCTTGTATTTGTATATAATGTGATACAAGTATTTTCCCCCTGAAATACCAGCAAGTAAACCTGTGTTGTGTTTTGGGAGAAAAAAAAAAAACATGAGGGTTTAGGAGGAAAAAAGTCTGATCAAAAGCTCCCTACATAAATTCATTTTGAAGACCCATCCTTTCACCTGCAGTCATTAGCTTCTTCCAGCAAAATATTTCCTTCCCTGTACTGTATTTTAGGTCTAGCTATCTCTCACTTTTATTTTTCACCTGGAGGAGAACAGCACAGGTCCCCAATAAGGGGAAGATACACACACAAACAGTATGTACAAATACTAATAATATATTCCATTCTAACTCGATTCTCAAAGACATTTTATACTTAAAGCATTTGCTTCACAGGGTTTATACACAGAATATTTGACCTATCCAGAAATCTTGGGTTTAAGAGATGACGATTGCTCTGGAGAAAGCCAAGGTATGCAAATTTTTATATAATAATTACTCATTTTAGCAAGCTGTGTTGACTTACTTCTCTTTGTCCCATTAGAAAGCATTCGGCAGCAATGGCTCTGAGAAAAAGAAATATATAAAAATATTTATTCTTGAATGATTTTAAATGCCATTATTGGCAGAATACTGACTGTGGAATGGAATTACAAATTCCTTGAGAAGAAACTGACTAACTCCCAATGATGTTTATCTATAGTGAAAAGAAAAAATAGCCATTTTGTAAAAACAACCTTACATGAGCAAGACATTTCAGTGGTTCCCCCTTATGAACAAACACTGAAGAAAAAGATCAGTTCAGCATCACTGGATAATGGAGATTACTGCTATTGTGATATATAAAGGGGAGGGTAGAGAGGAGGAGACAGAAGTCAATAATTGAATTATAAAGGCAATTTGTAAACATATTATTCATATTTATCTGCATAATATCCATCTATATGTTTCCCCAAGAGGGGAATTCAAATTCTCATTTAAAGAAGCGACAGTACCTCTTTTTGTTGTAATGAACAGTTACTGCTTAAATAATAAAATAATGAAAGAGAGACTTTTAGTACAAGCCCAATTTGAAGGACATTTCAGATTTACCTTTGTGATGTAAACCTTATAAACAAAAGCAATATCTATGAAAACAGATGTATGACTGTTGCATTACATTTTCCAGATGGCCAGGCATGTTGGGATATTATATGTAAACATCTTGGCTTGCAGTTTCAGAATTTGAACATTGCTCTCCTCCCAGTATCGCAGAAGCAGTCTGTAAAAAGCATTCATGAGAAAGGAGCATTGCTCTAATCACTGGGAACAGAAAAGCAATCCAAAGATATAAACACATTACACGATATATTATACCTAACCTCAGCCAGCAGTTGCAAGTGGGGAAAAAAAGAGACAAAAATCACAACACACACAAAAAAAGTTCTGGAAACAAAAAAAAAGTTAGGAAAAACTTTCGACGAATAACCTGATCTTGGCACATTACAAAATCCATTTTTAGCATGTGTAAGGTAACAATCCAGCTGAAGGAAGGCTTGATTATTTTTGCAAAGTCACAAGGCTAGGAGATACTGCACAGTCAGTTCTCTTCACCCATTTTATATAGTGTCAACAGTGTTTAACAAAGCTGTAAGTTCCACCTAGACAGAATTACAATTTGGTCTAAAATGTAGCCATTTAACTTTGTGTGCCACAACTCCATCCTCCCCTCCACTTCCAGTTGTTTCAAGTCTGGCTTTAAAATATTTGAGATCACTGTTGACGAATAAAAGCAAGCATCTGGGGACTTTACCAACCTATTCAATAAAACACTGATGAGTTCAGTGAAGCTGTGCATGATAAAATATGGATTCTTTAATCCTAGAAGAGTGCATTTTGGAATATTATTTAAGTAAAAATCAGTGCAATATTTACATTAACTGTGTTTGTTTTCCACTCATAAGATTTTTCAAAATTAAGGACAGCTCCTCTATGCTAAACAAATGTCAAGTTAAAGCTTATGGTAGCCCTATTACATACCAGCATACCCATTCTTCTTTGCCATATATTGGAACCGTTTTTAAACCAGAGCAGTAAGGAATAACAAGATTTTAATAAATCTGACATTTCTCCACACATTTGAAATTTTGACTATTTGCACTCATGTACAGTACTGATACAGTTATTAATAATTCTTGTATGGAATTATAATCTTTCTGCATGTAGAACAGAACCCTGTCAAACACAAAGAGACTGAGAAGATGTCAGAAGGCACAATAAGCCTGAAGCAACTTGCAGTAACGGAGTAAGAGTTTTATTTTTGTAGTACAAAACACATCATGCAAGCCTTGCATGAAAAATAACAGCTATATTAGCCAGATGTTTGTCTCAATTACAAATATTTTCACATACCTCAGTGCAAGTCCAGGATTAGTAGGCATAGTAGAACAAAACCGTTCCAAGGTTTTGGAATGTTGGGACTTTGGAATGCAGCTCAAATAAAAAAGAATTACCTGTAAAGTGTGAATTATAAACATTAATGCATTTTATAACCGTGATAAAGTAAAAGAATTACAAGTTATAAATATTGTGACTAAGCTGAGTTTCCACCACATAAATAATTTCAAATACAAACCTCATTCCTCAACTGCAGCAAAAAATCAATTCATGCCCGTAATTAATGCCATGTCACTAACACCACAGATTACAGTCCTTCCAGCCTTTATTTAATAGGTGAAAAAACATATTGGATGTTAATAAAATGGGACCTAGCATTTATACAAACAAAATAAACTCTACAGAAGCGCTCAGCTTAGTCTTCCTCCTATTCTCCTAATTTATTTATTTCCCAACCACTGTAATTTCTAGGATCACAACTGACAAATTCCATCTCCCAATGTCACAACTCTGCAGACCCCTCTTGCTCCTTTCCCTTATGCAGTTTCTTTTTTCTCTAAGAAAGGAAAGTTTGTCATTAACAACTTTATCCATAAAGTATCAACATATGCTATAATTTTTCTGACTTTCACTTTGCTTTAACCGCCCTTTATTCAAAATATCGCTGCTAGGTATTCCTTTGCTACTGAATCAGAACACTGCTCTCCTCAGATCTGTTTCTTTTTCTAGTAATTCCTAGCTGTCAGCGTGCATATGCTAGTGGTGCTCTATTTCAACAAGTAAACTACAGCAATCTGTCAAAAGGCTCTCAGTCTTTTGTTTACTTAAAAATAGCCAAGGAAATATTCTTACCTTATTATGAAACTCATAATTGGTCCAATAATCAGCAGTACTAAAAGGAATTGAGTATCGTGTGGGGACTGTAACCAAGCATCTGTTCACTAGGTCAGTAAAAAGCTTGAATTCTTGAACTTTGCTGTTGGATCCAACAACTTTACTATTGATAAAAACAAGGTAACTAGAAGGGAGAGAACAAAAAAAAGAGATGAGATGTTTCTGGTGCCCTTCACTTAACTACAAGATTAAGTTATTCTCCTTCCTTATGAACTTACTCCAGCCAAATGTTCTGAACTGTTTCCTGCTGCATCACTGCCCCCAGAGCTGCTTCAAAAGCATCCAGCGCTTCACCAACAGTTGCATGAAGAGACTGGCACAAACTGCGTGTATTAAAAATTTTGAACAAAAGTTAGAACACAATGCCTGCTCAAAAATATTAAGGGTAAGAAACAAGGAAGAACTTCACATTTCAAGATGCAAGAAAACACACCCTTTTCAGTTTAGCAGCATTACAGACTTATTTGTCAGTCAGCTTATTAAAATGGGCAAGCATCATACCGCAGGTAATGCAGAATATGGTAACTCGACAGTTTAAATGCAGGTTTTAACTCAAGGAGAAATGAAAACTTACCTTTAGTCTTCTACTCTTGTAAAGCACCTTTTCATTAATCCTTATAATAAGGATGCTCTGACTGCTACAGAATGGAGACAGGTCTTGAGCTTCCCTACAGGAAGCTCCAGAACAGTAAATGTCAAAGTTATATTAAAAGAGACCACACTTGAGAAATGGTATCAGACAGCGGCAACAAAAATCAGTATTCTAAAACAAACACTGCTGGGGAGCTGTGATAAAAATATGCTGACAGAAAAAAAAATTGACAAAAGCAGTCAAAACATTTTTGTTCCACAGCTCAGACTAACATACAAGATCTTTCCAAAGACAGAAGCAGACAGACATTTTTTGTCCAAGATTCAGTCAAAAATCCTTATTTCAGGGTATAATGAACAAAGGGGATGGCTTTCATTAAGTTGTCAGTGGAAAAAAAAAAAAATCATGAAGACTACTACAGAATTACAATATAGGAAAGGGCTGATATGGCTACCTTGCTAGAGCCTGTAGAAGCATCTTGATTAGGGCCACAGAGATAATCAGAATTCCTGATCATAGTTCATGGGAAAAGCTAGAGCAGAAACTAAACCACCAGGTTGCTAGTCTTGTTTAAAAAGAAAAAAAAAAAAAGAAAGAAAGAAAAACAAAATCTTTCCGAGCAAAATGCTGTTCCTTGGTCATTTCAGGCTCTGATAATTTCACTCAGACTATTTCCACCTGGTAAAAGTGAACTTTGATGTCATTTGTCCTCTGCACCTGAAAAAGGAAAGACAGATACATAGGCCCAAATCCATAGGCACTTCACTGTGACAAAACTCAAGCACTCAACTCTTCATCGGCTTTATAAGTAATTTAGGAATTTATTTCAGGAGCACTGATTTCTCTCTTAGGATCAGGTGCTTAAGAACAGATGCATCTGAGCTTAAGTAAGGTCTCTAATGACCAGACAGCGACCTCAAGCATCCTTCTAACAATATTTCTAACTTGCAAGTACCTATCTTCTAAAAAAGAGAACTTGCAAAGAAAAGACAACTAAAATCCATTCATTTAAATTGGAATGCATGGACAATACTAGAAGAAAGCATTAAGATAATTTAATCTAAACCCTGTATGAAGATTTTCTTGAAAAGATACAATTTACTTCTTAACGTTGTCATCCACCAATTAAAAACTATCAGTAACAGAGTTGAGGGAGTTCTAAGGAGTCCTCAGTCAGTATCTGAAGGATTATTCTTTGCCCCTTTACTTGTCCGAAAAGCCAAATAACTACTTCTGAAAATGGCAGACCCAGACCATGGGAAGGTAAACTTTTTAAGCAGTAGCATAAGCTGACATCTCAGTAACCACATCAGAAACTAAAGTTTTCTTTAAGTGCCGTTATGATAGCCAATATCGCCTGCTGGCCACTCCTAGATATTCTTGCTGTCAAAAGGAATGGTGGGAGAAACCAAAAAAAGGAAAATAAAAAGGAAAAAAACCACAAAGCTCATGTTTACACAACAACAATCATTCACCTTTATACATGTCTTCTTGAGGAAAAAGTCACTTTGCCATATTCCTTTGATATGGATGGCCATCTGTGAAAAGTTCCAACTTTTACAGCTTGTTGTTACTAGATCTATTAACAGCTAAAACAATGGGTCAAGATAGATGGGGAGAACAGGACTAAACAAAAAGTTGGCGTGGAAGTGGGGAACTATGGAAGAATAAGGAGGAGGCAACTGAAAGCCAGAAGAAATGAAAGAAAGCTAATAGAAGTGACTTCAAACAGAAGTCTAAACAACTGATCGTTTTCTGAAATGAACACACCTGCCACTGTCAGAAAAAAAAAAAAAAAAAGGAAGAATTTCTGAAAGATTTCCCAAGTGCAGAATTTGTGGTGATGTGCAATTCACAGTTCCATAGAATTGTCTCTGTTCTGCAGCAGCCAGGTAGCTTCTCTAAGGACTGGCAGATCAGTTATTAAAAGAACCCAAAATGATATACTTCGGCAAATAATGACTGTTCCACAGTTGAAAAATTCAATTTACTCAGACGCAATAGTTATCCCTCAAATATTTTAGAGAGCCTCACCAGTAGATCTGCCACAGATAAGGGATTTGCTGATTTACAATGTCATCTGTGAGATGTTCTTTATAGAGGGGTGATGTAAACTCAATCGGCATTGGAAAATTCAAGAGATACCTACAAGAGAAAAAGTAGCATGTGAATATCCCACTGTATGGAAGGGACAAAAAAAAAAAAAAAAAACCCTCAAACCCCAAAAAAGTAACAACCAAAAAAAACCAACTTATGTGGACTTAGCTCAGAAACCTAATTCATGAGATGCATTAAAAAATAAAAAAGGAGGAGATTCACCTACTTTTCTTTAGACTATAACTTAACTCTATCCAGATATATATTTTAAAGCACCTACTCCTTTATTCCTCCATCAGGTACCAGGTTAAATCTTTCTCTAAATCTCAGACACCTCCCTTTTTCACATGAAACGCATCAACTCCTAAGATACAATTATCCACCAAAAGCAGCTAAATTGCATTGCCAGCGCCAAAATTAATATAAACGAACCTAAGTGGAAGAAAATCTAACACCTAACTTGGCATCAGCTTAAGTACAGACAGTCTCTCTTTGAAGGCCTTCATAGGCATCTACTTTTCTTTGACTATAGGAAACGTGTATTTTAGAACTTCAAGGAGTCTCTCAATTAGGTGCCTAACATACAGGTGGAAACTCAGCAGAATGAGGACCAACCTGTGCATTTTCAGCAATAATAGTCCCCTAATTAATAACATACATGTATTTTCTGGACTGAGGTCTTTTGCAAGTAGATACAGAATTTTAGGCACGCAGTTTTAGGCTCCCAGCTTTGGGGGCATAGATATTTAATGTCCGGATTTGGGGAATGGAAATTCATTGAACTTGCTGGCTCTTTCACCTCTAAGTTTGTGTTTTATAATTTTGTTAGTCTGTGCACAAACAACAAGCATAAACCTTAAAACACCAAATCATAATTCACTAAAGCTTTAGTAAAACATGCCAACTTAAAAACAGCGTTTCAAAAGTTCTAAAATTGTCCAGTTTTGCCAGAAACAAATAAAAAACTAGTCTTCCCAACAGAAAAAAAAAATTCTAAGCATACCTTAAGAGATCCATAGGACTGTGTTCTTGACATGCATTCTCAAAGAAAGCTGCCACAAAATCTTGCAACAGTGAAAGAATATTGTCTGATCTTCCCTGTTTTTTTTTTTTAAATTAAAGAAAATTTAAAATAGACCATGTAAGATATCAACCTAAAGACAAGAGCAATTTAAGCACAACAAATAACAAGTGATGTCCCTATCTCTGCAATGCTCCATTGCCCTTATTCTCTCAAGAAATAAATCTAATGGAGTCAGTCAGCATACTGCAGAAAAAAGCTGAGAATATATTCGAGTTTCACTGTTAGGATCTTCTATTATTCTTACATAAGGCTACTGTTAACACTGGATTAGAACCAACAGTTTTAGTTCTAAATTTATGATTTTATATACCTTCGATTACCTGTAAAGGTGTCATTAAATTTGCCAATTCTATTATTCACATCTATAAAAAGGAGTGATAGACATTACAAAAACATTGTGAAGATTAAGCTATGTGATAAGTGCTTTGAAACCACAAGCAAAACACAAACTACATAAAGCCAGAAGACTAATGCAAAGGGTTCTGGGGTGAGGTATTACCTGTGAGATGAGGAATTTACACATCTGGTAAAAAATTTCTGCATTCTGAGGATTCTTCTCAAACGCTGCAATCCACACGTTGTAGGCGCTATCACTCTGCTCTATTTGCAAATACAAGGTGGCTAAACTCTCCAAGAGCTGAGAGTTGTTAGGGCAGAGTTCCAACAAGGATCTACAAAGTTCTATAGCAGACTCCCACCTCAAATAAAAAGAAAAGCAAGATTTTAAAAAAAAGAAAAAAAGGCCACACACACACACAATGGAGTTGAGTATTAAGTGAAAAATGTGTTTAAAAAACAAATTACCTTTCAAGAAGCTTCAACAAAGCTATCATATTTCTGTAGAGAGGTAAGCAGATAGCTATTCTTCTGTCAGCGTTAAGGCTTTCATCAGTACATGTTTTGACTGCATCTTAAAAAAAAGAAGAGAGAAAACAAAAACAACAACAAAAAAAGTCAGGCCCTTAAACTTCAAGTACCTTCAAGCTTATATGAATGTTTAACATAAAAAAAATCTACGAGACATAAGCACGTAAGTTATTTTTGTGAACGTTGTTCTTGGAAGTTACGAAAGAAGGAAGACGGTAGATAACCTTTGGAAAACACTTATCACCGCAGTGAAGAGAAAAGTCTTCTAGAAGTGCCATCCTTCATGTCCAGACGAATAAGCAAAGCCATATTGTCATAAGCAACTGATCTCTAGCTTGGCAGAAAATTGTATTTCAGAGGAAGAGCTATGACTGAGCCACAGATAACACACACAGAGTTTTCCAAGTACCCCAAAACATAGGTTTTCCTCACTTTCTTTTTCAAATCATTGATGAAGTATTCACTGGATTGATCATAATGGCCTAAAGCATTTGGCAGCAACGTTGCATTACCTTAAAATTGCAAAAGGTGGGTAATATCTCCTGATTTGTAACAAATGAGTCATGTACTGACTAGTTTACTTCCCTAAACTTACCTTCAAACATAGCCAACAACGTATCAGGATCAGTCTTCACATCTTGAATTGTTTGCCACGGTATTAGAAACGGCTCTTTGTTCATTATCCTTGAAGGCCTGGCATTAGCTGGATCATAGAACTTGACTGGGAGAACACCGAATTCGATTAGATGTATGTAAGCCAGCCAAGCCAAGCAGCGGTCACTTACAGTAAGGCGTTCTGATAATATCTTCTCATTTGCTGATTTTAAAGCATTCTGTAAAGGTTAAAAGGAATGTATTATATTTTAACTGTAAATTCTTTAAGTTCTAAGAATGAAAAAAAAAAAAGAAAAATACAAAGTTTCAATATTCTGGGTATTTAATATTCTAGAACAGGGAATTAGTAAGTAATTAATGATTCTTGACCTCCGTTGTGATCATATTTCCTTTATGTGAACGTAGGATTGTGGTCAAATCCTATATAGTTACATAACTTCTTGTAACAAGTTTAGAAAACCTGCAATAGTTTTCGCCTTGGAAATTAAACAGAGATGGACTTTTAATCCATGCACCTCCCAACCTGTGTTCAATTTTTCTGCTTGCTTCTGTGACAATTACTTTCAGTTACATACAAATAATATATTAGCTCCAAAGACAACTCATCTGTGAGTAGGATTAGGTTTGCTACATCCTATTAGGGTTTTGGGGTTTGTTTTTTTTTTAAGATCCAGTTGTGCAGCTGCTAAGGGACAGCTGTCCAAGTCTACTGAAAGCACCAGGGCTACACAAGCATCTCTAAAGACTTCACTTTAAAATGGTGTTGGAAATATTACTGAGAACCAGAATACCGCTCCAAGTTTTCCTACCAATGGTATGCAAAACTAGAATAGCCAGTCAAACTCGCAGATCCCAAATATAATCATTACAACAACCAATTAGACAAAGTCTAAACACAATTGCTCCTAGAACAGAACAGAATCTCATGGCTAAAGTCGTATAAACTTTTCTCTGGGTAAAGAAATAAGGCACTTTTTCAAGGGACTCAAAGTGCTTGCAAATTTGCGTGGAATTCAGCAAAACATTTATCCAATAAGAGGTGGAAAATGAACTTTCTAAAGAAAACTTTCTAAAGTAAATGCTTTCAAGTTTTCAAAGGGAAGCATTACAACTTACTTTGAAGTAGCATTTTTAACCATACTTGAGAGAGAATTTCTAAGTAAGTAACCTTCCCCAAAATACTCTTTCCAACTACAGTTTACAGACTAAAAAAAATTTGTTTTTACAATAATGCTTTGGGACGAAATGGGAGGGGAAACGACTCAAATTCTTCCCAATGTACACTGGACTTCCATTTAAGTTTGAAACAAACTGTATTTTTTCCTCTCCATTCTTCTTGTTTGTTCAGCTAAACACTCAGAGGGAGATTTATCAGTACTGCTGTGTTTAGAATAGCTTGTGAAGCAAGTCAACCGGAGGTAGGAAAAAGCTTTACAGCCTTGAACCACACAATCTTGCAAAATACTCTGAAGTGTAGCAAACAGGCTCCACCTGCTGGCAAGAACAGAAGAACTTGCTTTCAAAACTCCAGTAGCTACCTTTTGCTAGTGGCTGATGGCAGCACCTTCCTTCTCACCTTCACCTAGAAGCTAGAGAGCAATAACAGTGACCTAAAATGCCTTTTACAATAGTAATAAAAGCTTGTAATAAGTGAGACTTGGGAGCTCATGAGATCACTAAATCCTCTAATGCAACAGTCTCCAATTTTTGGAGGACAGGCAATACTGCTAAGTAGTATCATACCCCATGTTCCTTCTAAGAGAAATTACTGCTTTGTAATTTCTAATTCAGTATCTGAGGCAATACATTACTCACAGGCTGTTAACTGGAGAATAGCGCTCTACTGTTTACCAGAAATCAAAACAAAAGCAGTTCCCTGGAAGTATTGTGAGAAGTAGTGCTCTAGTTATTAGCTACACAAGGAAAAAAAAAAATAGGGAACCAAGATGCATCCAGAGTTTACAATGGCATCATATTTTATAACAGCAGTCTAGGAGAATTCCTCCAACAACTAAACAACTGAAGGCACAGCTCTTCTACAGCTGGAGCTGTTGGAGTCACAGGCATCAGAAAGACAAAAACGTGAAGACAAGTCCTGGTGTGGCAACTTGGAGGTTACCTGCAACACAGCAAGAGCGTTCTGATATCTTCCTGTGAAGAGGCTTAAGTGAACTCTGTACAGAAGAGTCTCCAGCAGCTGAAAGGACAAGAGATCAGGATTTTCTTCTCCCCCTGCTCCTTCCGTGAGGAACTGTAGCATCCTCCCACATACATAGTCTTTTCCATCAAAGGAATTCTCCAAATTCAAAAACTAGAGAGAAATATTTCATATTAAAAAGTCAGAATACCAGTAAAGTTTCCAAGTTAAACTTTAAAAAGCAGATACCATTGCACCAAATTTGTATGAAAATGTCTTCTACCACCCTACAAGCCACACTTCCCTTCCCACACTAAATTTTCACATTAAACCTCACATATCATAAATATCCTTAAAGATCAAATATTCAGAGGCATAGAAAATTAAGGGAAAATAAGAATTTTTCAAGCTTAAAAAAATCTTTTACTTGGTAGGCAAAAATCAAAATGTTGCATTTCTTGAGAAAAAGTGACGATTTCTACCAACACAGAATATAGCACAGTCAAATATAACTTTGAATTGTCTCACTTTCTGAGCAATGTCGGCAGTTTTCAAAAAGCTATAGTGTTAACTTAGTTAAAATTAACCTTTCCCTTTCACTCTTTTCCTGTCATACATGCAGAAATCCCAGGGTTCCTACAGCACTAAATACACACTTGCATGAACATTTCACATGCACATTATTACTTACTGTCCACCAGATTTGATAAGAAGGTGCATATTCTACTGCTGTTTCACACATTTCCTGCATCTCTTCCTTGGTTCCTCTTTTTGAAAAGAGTCTGAGGTAATGACACCAAATCTCAGGATTTTCTTTGTTGTTCTCAAGGGCTCATTACCCCACAGCCGGCACTTCATACAGTTTGAGCTACGGTTATCAGGACATTTTACAACTCCATTACATCCATGGTTTTGTAATTAGGACTCATACAAAATGAAATACGAAAATGGATGCTTATAACTAGAATGCAAATGACAGTCAGTCATCAAGTTAACGTGCTGTCCTTTACTATAAAACTTTAAGTTTTAGTGAAGTTTCACCCTTCAAAAGATACAAACTATCATAGCGCATATAAAGATAAAAGTTTTACAGGTTCAAATAAGGTGCCAATTCAATTAAAACGCGTAAGATTTATCCATAAGCAGAAGTCTCATGCTGAATCTGTATAAAGGGCCAATTCACATCATATTGACTCAAAAGCTTAAATAGAAATATTTAGAAGGCTTGGTAAAGTAAGTTAGAAGATTGTTTTGTTACATATTTAATTTACTTTCTATATTCATCAAATATAAGCCTTTATTCCGAGTTTGTATGCACGTCATACAGGTTTTCTTTGTTTCTAGGTGTTCCTTTTTGAGATAACTGTCATGAGATGATACTAGTAAAGTCATACGAGATTAGCTCAAACAGCCGAATATACTGCAAACCACATGGCTAAGTCTTAGTTTATAAATATCAAACTTCCACAAAACCACAGAAAGCTTCTCAGGCCACGCTTACTCTAAAAATATCTTTAGAAGTTATTTTGCATAGACATTTAGGAGGGAAAAATGCATGTTTCAAAAATAAGAGTAAAACAGTTCATGATGCGTAAGACAAACTTTTGTTCTCTCTTCTCTGAGCACTGCACATCTAGGAAAAAACTGAATCTACTGCAATCAATTAAACCACTTAGCTCTCTTAAGACAAAAAAATACCCCAGTATTAGTTTGTTTAGGGCTTTAGTTTTATTTGGTTTTTTTGTTTGTTTGTTTAAGAAAAGGATCTGTTGCCTTCCATTACTTTTTTTCTCCCTTCTTTCCTTGGTCTTTTTTCAGCTACACTTATATTTTGAAAAAGTGTGCTCTCCTCATCCTGCCGCTTGCTGGTAGTGCTGTACTTCCTGCATTGGCCTTTCCAGTTCTATCCTACATGTTTCAGCTAGTATTTATTATTATTACATATAACTCAAGCCACTTCGAACATACCGTCCCCTCCTAGAGGGTGCTCAGTTACTGATAAAGCTAAACTGATCTCTTACAAAATTTCCCATAGTTCACACAATGCTTTAAAAAACAATAATAATAATAATTATCCAACACCACCACTCCTCATCCCCTTTCCTCCCTGCTACAGCAGCTTTCCCCACAACCTCTCTCTGCCTTAGGTTAGTACTTTGCTACTGAATCCAAGTGAATCGCCACAATGAAACCACATGACAGGATTCCTACTGAAATTCTTTGATTGTCAATAAAAACAGGGTACTCCACAGAATAAATTAGAGGAATAGAAACTAGAGATAACTGTAGAAATCTAAAAGTAAGGAAAACTAAGAAATAAGAAACTGACTGCTCAACTGGACAATTTCTACATTGACAGAGCCGTATGGCAGAGCTGTTCTTGTAACGAATCTTATGGATGAAAGTTGTTTTAAACGTTATTTCAACCATTCACATCGTAGAGGAGACAAACTGATTTAAGTTCATTGGTCTACTGCTTTATCACTGGAAGTACAACATTCCACTGTAATCTTGGGAATACATTAGACTGTACACTTTTCAAGCACAGTTATTTCTCCCATGCTACTTTCCATCTACTTCCATTCCGAATGAGAACCTACCTAAACTACACTTGGCAACTTATCTTTATTTACCACACTGCATACAGTAGGAAATCTAATCTATTTTAACCTGCTTTTAAGCGATAAGTTAGTTGTGGCTTTGTCAAAGAAAATTCTTTTACGTTAGAAAGGAAACCTGATTATAGTAGCATGAGTAAAGAACAAAAACCAAATCTAAGAATGCCGAAGACTTACCCTTCATTTTGATTCAAGTATTTGTATGCAAGCTTAATCCAAAGTTGTACATCACAGGGGTTTTCTTGAACGCTTGCCTCCAAGTTGGAAATGTCATCAGTCTCGCTTGTAAAATATCGGACATCATCTGGAGTCACGACAGCATCGAGAGCTGGAACCTTTGCTTTATGTTCTGTGGGGTGAGCTGCAAATAAAAGTTTCTTTTCAAAATGGAAATGACCTGTCATGTTAGAACTGATAAGATACCCTGAAGAGGGAGGATGTTTACAGACTTCAAGTACGGCCATTAACCACAGTGAAACATGGTTATTTCTGCATCTTCTAAAACTGCGTACTCCACAGAAAACTAGTTATATTTCAAATACGAGGGCAAGAAAACCAGCAGAAAAAGGCTACTTTTGTCAAACCACACTCATTGAGGCAATTCATTGGGCATCATTAAGAAGTAGACAGCTCTGACAAGAAGATCAGCTGCCTCATTTGAGTCTCTCGATATCCTTCTTACAGGATTTGCAAGCAGAACCTAAAGTTCTCACCTGCATGAGTCACATGCGAAAATTCTGGTCACTGATGCTCAAGCAAGCTTCAAAATCTCAAACGCCAAACCAGCTTTTTTCTCCTGACCTCAACACAATATATGAGCTCTGCTCAAATGCAAATTGACTGAACACATGAAACTTCACTACTTATTAAGGTCTGTAACATCACCCGGGTCTACAGAGGTTTACAGACAAACGTGGAACATTCTAGGGGAATGGTTCCCTATATTCCTTTCCAGAATTTGTAAGCAGAAATTCCACTTAAACTTCCAATGACATATTCTATTAGTCTCTATTAGAGTATATGTCTTTTTTTTTTTTTTTTTTTAAAAAGAATGAATGAGGGTCAAGCTGCACTCAAAAACAAAGGCAAAGGAAATTTGCAGAGAGGAAATATGAAGAAGCCAAAAAAGTAAGAAAAAAAAAAATGTTTTACTGAAGGACAGCTTTACAAATTATAGGTTGGGAAGGGGCTGGTGGTTATTTTTCCCCCAGTACACTATACTTCTGGATTACCATATTTAATAGGTCCAAGGAACTGTTCCTCCTCACTGCTGCTACTATCTAATGGAGGTTTTCTCCAGTACTTTGGTCTCCATTTTCTCTTATCTTTCCATGTGGTAAACGGAGGTGCTGTAAATAACCATAGTAGTAGAAGTTATCTTTTACTTTTCTGTATTCAAGATTTAAGATATTAATAATTTTAGACAAAAACATTCTGAGTGTGCAACACAAGGGCACAAGTTTCAATAAATCTGGTGATCTTAAGCGCATAAGTAATTTTTTCACATTGGACTCTGAAATTATTACATTATGCCTTATAACAAAACTCTGCTGTCTTGAATGTACCATAAGCATAATTTAGCATACTGAGACAAACTAAGAGACAACAAAGGAGTATTCTTGGGTTATAGTCATTGAAATCCTATATAATTAAAAACACAAGCCGATATCGTATTTAACCTACCAAGAAAGTTACTTACTATGACCTTTACTCTCATTGACATTGCTAGCCAGAAGAACAGCCATCTGATCCACTGACATTCGATCTCTGTTTATACCAAAAAGTTTTTCAACATATTTTTCTGAAATAAGAACATTTGTCTCTTAGATAAGCACATAAATGAAAACAGGTAACTCAACAGCAATTTTATATCACCCATGCTGAATTAGTGAATTACGGCTGCTTTAAGAGGCATGGTAATTTAACATCTTAGAATACAGACATCAAAACTGAACAAGTTATGTCAGGCAATTTGCCTACATCCCAGCAGCATTATTATATAATTCCAACTTCACTAAAACAAACCAATCCCATAGCTACACAAAGAAGAGAGGAAGAGGAGAAGGAAAGATCCCATCCCCATTCCCTCATCCCCTCACCCCCAATCCCTTATTTTTAAGTGAAACATTCCAAAATCAGTAAGAATTTTTCCCTATGTTAAGGGCACTGAGGAGACTGTCCACCTCTGAGGACTGAACTGGATGACTGGAGATATGTATTTCTTCATTTAGCAGTATTTTACACATCACATGACATCAGTCACTAAAGTCCTTGCTCCTCGACCTTTTACGAAAGTCATTCCCTTCAAAAATGAATCTTTTAAACTAAAAGCGAGTAAAATACTCTTAGAAACCTGTCGCAGTGCTGATTTCATCATCAGTGCTTTTTTCTGAACAACCAATCAGTTCTAAATTGTAAGACAGAATATCTTGAAATAGCTGCTTTCGGCTAAGAGTGCAATCTTTCACGTGCTGCCTGAAATAAATAAGGAAATAAGAAATTAAAATATTTTAATCACAGTAACAATTTAACAAGGCCTGTAATTAGAAAGTTGTATACACTAATAGGAAGCTTAAACAAGAAGGAAAATGACACTCACGGAAAATAAAAAAAATGCTCTGAAACTTCTAGGCCTTCTCTAAACACGCATCACTGACTTTACCCTAGCCCTCATTATTTCAGTACAGCCCTGCTCTTTGGAATAAACCTCTACTTTGGTAGCAGTCTAGTTTTGCAGAGATGCAACACAGTATTTAGATCTTTCTGGTTCAAATAAGCATAGTTATAAAAAAAGACAGATATCACTGTTTAAAGGATTCAAAGTATGATTTGACATAGCTAGCGCTTATTCAGAATATCTCTGCCATCAAAAAGGGCAAAAAAGAACTAAAGTTTGTTCCTGCTGTATTTTTCCAACAGCTGGAAGTGTCCAAATAGAGTTTACTGTTGAACAATTAATATCCATTTATCCTCGTATCAACTTTTTAAAAAATATTAGGTAACGCTGTTTAGCAAAATATTTTTAAAATCAGATTTAACACCAGGCTTCAGAGAAGCAAATTTAGCCAATATTTTCCTAGAAAAACTGAATTCTAGTATTACGACAAGATTTTCTTATATATCACATAATATTTACTACTTGGTTTATTTTGCTTAGCAGTATATGATACAATTCTACCGTGCTTCGCAGTATTGCTCACTACCTGAAGTTACACTATGGTCTGAAGTTACATTGAAGCTACGAAGAGGAGTCCTCTCCAAATTAAAAGGCAATCAAAGAATAATACGTTCTCTAACAGTCTATACTGTTTTTCTAAATGTATGTCTAAAGAGCCTTCTTCCTTCACAGTTTAAGTTTTTTTTCCTCACAACCAGGTATCTGCAGTAGGGTATTTAAAAATAACCTTCTTTTCTAAACTTGTCCATAGGATCATAAACCTAGACCTTTCAAATAAAGGAAAAAGGCGTCTACTGGTCCTGAAGCCAGACATGTAGAACAGACATTTACGCCAGATGAACAAAATTAAAAAGAACTCACCACTGACAGTCATCATCATTACATGTGCCTGTTAAATCAAAACGGCAGAAACACTGTTTTGGCTCTATCATATTGCTATGGGTTACAGAACTGAGGTATAGTTTTTCCTTGGTTCGAAAATATGGACTAAACCTAAAAATAAAATAGTGAATTATTATGACAAAGCATACAAACTAAGACATCAGTTTTATTAAACAAAAGATAAAAAAAAAAAAACACACACCTACATGTCATTTTCAATATTAAGTCTCATTATTTCCAAAACCATACTACAATCGAAAACATTGCTGACCTGTGAGATAGGGGGATGAAAAACAGTGGCAGAGGGAGAAAGTAAAACAGCATTTCTCAATTTACACAGATTCTTCTCTAGTATCTTGTTCTTGCTTACATAAAAGTTCATTCATATTTAAAAAAAAAAAAAGGGAAACGTGGTAATCATACATTAGGGAAAGGAAACCACTGAAATTAAATTCCAGTGCAATCCTAGAAATTGATCTTATGCTTTCTAGAGCAGGAGTACAATGACGAACAGAAATATAAAGAGGACTGCTAAAGATTAACCTGAGATAACGCAGTGAAAAACAAGACTAAAACTAGCAAACAAACAAAAACCAGTCTGAGCTAAGCAGACAGACACTTGCTTTAAATATGTAGCTTAAGTTGGACTTTGCCAAGTTCAAGACTTCTATCTCCTTCAGGAAGCAAACCTTTCATCATCTACATTAAATTAACAGGATATGAAAACTACTCCTGTAGGATTCTCCATCACCATTTCCTGCTCCATCTTCTGCTACTTCTGCTATCTCACAGATGTGAAATAGAGAACTTTTAAGCACATGCTAGCATATAACTGCTCCAATTTATATTTCAGATTTTTTCCTAAAAGTTAAAGAGTAGGAACAAGGCTCTCTTTTTGGTCAACAGAAAAGAGACAGATGTGTCAAAGCAATGGAATGAAGTACAATTGCAGGTGCCTGCTTTAAGTCAGGATGAATCACGCTGGTCATGCCTCTTTCTACTGACCAGGAACTCATAAATGGGTAAGTGGCTCAGTCTCAACTTGGACAATATAAATCCTACCCAAGTTTAAAGATGGCATAATCAAAATACTCTACTGTGAAGTATTCACTGGATTTTAGATTGCCTGAAATTGGATATAAAAAATCCTATTTTCAAATAACCACTGTTGTTGAATATAGTTATACCAGACCGTAACACAGTTACAGGGCACAGAATGCAACACAATATAAAACCAGTGCACTGTACAAAATTAAGGGACCCTGAGTAACAGTTAAAAACTAACTAAAAATCATAAGGTTCTCTGAACTAGAGAAAAATTGTTTCAGGATAGTAAAGATAAGTTTTAATGAAAAACTTGATAGCTAAGCCTTGTACAAAGGAAGAGCAGTGAAGACTTGAAAGTTTCACATGTACACAGAAGTCAGAATAGCTGTTATAATCCTCATACCTGTAGGATTTGAATACTAGAAGGGGACTATGATATGGTCCAAACGGAAATGGTTTCGCTTCAGTTTGTTTATTTTGAGATGGCACAAAATCCATATCCACTGAAATTTCCTAGGAAACAGATGAACAGAAAAACTGAAGTTGCGATACCACCTAATAAGAAACAACTTCAACGTTTACTTTTAAAGCATTTACCTGACCACACAACAGGTCTTCCTTAGGTGTTACAAAGGCAGTACTTTTCATTAGCAGCTCTTTCAAGCTGTCAGCTTTAGCATGAAGTTTTTTCAATTCCTCAATATTCAACCCAAGGAAAAGCTCAGGCTCCTCTGCTGCCTTTTTAGAAAGTTTGTTTATAGTTTCTTGTTTTGGGGTGTCCATGTGTTTTAGATTTGGTTTAGTAAACGAATTAGACTCTCTGAAAGATCTCCTTCGTTCTCGGTTTGAATTAGATAAGACTTCATCATCAAAGTAATTTTCTTCACTGTCCAAAGACAATTTGTCCTGCGTAAGATCATGAAGCGATGGCTGAGGTAATGTAAATTCAGATTCCTCTTCTGCAGGAGGGGCAAAGTTTAATTGCTCCTTGGTTTGAAGTGCACGGGCCTCTTTCAACTTCTGAATCTTCAGAGCGTATTCATACTCCAGTTGCTGCAGTCGTTTCTTCTCTAGTGCAATCAATTCTGCTGAATGCTTCTTTGGACTTGATGCAGGGGAATTCTCCAATTTCAACATTTTGCTTGGCTGAAAAGAAAAAAAAAAAGTTTTCCTTAATTTCATCTTCATATTTACTGATCTATTGACAGGAGGCAAATTAAACATGAGCAACATATTTAACTCAGAGTTTATAAGAACATATTTTAAATTCTTGCCAGAAAATTTCAGTAAACAGTAGGAAAACCACAAAACTGTTCGCCACAATTCCACTGGCATGTTTGCAGGTTTTTCAGTATAAATTAAGTCTACATCACACACAAGTCTTCAACAAAAGTTCTGGTCACACTTAAAAGGTGAGCAACAAAACAAAGGCACACAAGAAAATTTTTGTAAAAATACTTAAGCCTTGTTTTTCTACATTTTGATTTTCAGAAGAATGAAATCAGAGCCCACTTATTACTAGATAGTTAATAACATGCTTGAGGGCTACAGACAGCAAAGTTACTTCCCTTCTTCACAGGAATATAACCTCTCTTATTACCAATCTATTTATGGTATATCTCCAGCAAGGAGAGGCAGGCTTTGAATAGTTTTCTTTTCTTGAATAGTTTCCTTTTTTTCAATGCTTAATGCTTTTTCTGTTGAATTATTAAAATACACAGAACAAAAATTAAGAATATTCTTACAGTGCTTTCAGAAAGTCTTCCTATTTGCCTGAAATCCCATTTAAACTACATTTCCTAACCGCAACTGCTACTGCTTTTCAAGCACAGAACAGTTTAAGAGCATGCAGCAAGCTTACTCCAAGATGATCCTGCTCCAGTTTTCGTTTCCCGATTTCTTTACTTGCTACTGCTTTTGCTCGAGCAAGTTCTTCCCCATATTTTAAGGCCAGAGCTTTTTTTACTGTAACTCGTTGTTGAACTTTATGAATCTGAAAAAGAGAGAATAAATACAATAGTAAAGATGCAACTTTCAGTTATCATCACATAATAAAGTGCAATGAGAAAAAGACATGGGAATGAATTAATGATTAATCCAAAGAAAGTCAAGTGCACCCTGCAAATTATCAAGCTTCCCATTCCAACGTTTCTAGCTACAAAACACAGAAACATTCCAAAATTAAAATTACTTGTTCCTGAAGCTTCTTAAGAAACATCTTGTTAGCGTTCAGGATCTTCTCTGTTGCTTGTAGCTGTTCAGCCAGCTTGTTAATCTTATTTTCAGCAATTCGAACATTCTCTCTCTTCTTTGCCTCTTGTTGCAACAAATGTTTCAACACAGATTCATCTTTCATCAGGAGGAGTCTAAAAATAGAAAAGCCATATAACAAAAACTTTTCCAGAGAGAAAAGTTCCTCACAGCTATCACTGCTTATCCGAAATCCTTGCTATCTAAGAAACAAGTTCTTCACCTATCAGCAAACACCACTAAGTTTCTCAAGGTAGTCTTAACATCCATGAGACAGTAAATATTGACAGTACATACAGTTTCAGTAACCAATTTCAGCAACTCAGTATAAATTGGATGAAAACATTTTGACTGCAAGTGCAAGTGGAAGATAAGCAAGAGGCATATCTTTAATGTCATTTTTAGTTTTAAGACATCCGAAAACCGGTTTTACTTTAAGTAACAATCTGATCCTTTTCTAGGGCACAAACACATCAGCAGATTACAAGGCGCGCTACAAGGTCACAGTAGCAGTGTTTAAAGATAGAAAGCTATGCATCAAAAGGAGCAAGACAAAGACTTGGAAGGAGCGGATGGATGAAAGGAAGGAAAATTTGTGCTTCAATTTGCGTCCAACACAAACCAGTTTGTTCAAAATTCCAAGCACTAATTAGCAAGTGACAACAAAAGCAGAAAAGGAAGACATAAAGCACTCAGGACCTTTGCCACAGAAACTTAGAGGAAGGGAGAGAAATATGAAAAAGGCATACTTAAGGAGAAAAGGTATGCAGGAGACGTTTCAAGCAGCCTGCCTATTATGAGGAAAATATTAATTCATTCAAGCCCATCAGGTACATCTCAGAAACAGCAAGGCATTCGCCCCTTAAAGAAAGTGTACCGAGAAGTGAAAAGCCTGCTTGTGTTTTCATATTTCAACATTATCGGGTAGTGGAGATGAAGTTCTACTGACCAAACGAAAATATAGCTGAAAACAGCGTGAGAAGTTGCATTTACAGGTTACCATCAAAAAAAGATGGTGGCACAGGAGCACTAGCGATAGTTCAAGAAAACAGAAAACTAAGCCTAGCTCTATCTCAAAAGCTACTCACTGAAAAAAAGTTTACAGCTTTAATCCTTCTAAGCAAAGGAATGTTTTATGACAGTGAAAACTTACTTGTTTTTCTTAAGCTTTGCTTCTGCTTCTGTAACTTGTTTTGTCACTACCGCTATTCTACCAATTCCATCAACTTCACCATCGGAATTTGCAGGGGATGTACTGTTCCTCAGTGGATCAGTTTTAATTAAACGCTGCTTCTCACGACTAAAACAGAGATCGTACAAGCAAAGATATTCAGTAACTCCATCAACATTCACTTCATTGCGTATTCCAATTGCTTTAGCATCTTTCAAGAAGTAAGAGAACAACATTTCAAGTTAAAGAAAGCTTTCCAGAACTACATTCAAGTACGGTCATTCACATCAAACCCAAAGACTTTCTTTCGTCTTACTAAAAATTAAGGAAAAAAACTGAAGGTAATAATACGGTTTTCAGACTCGGATTTTTCTTCCAATTACAAAAATAGATTAGTAAAGCACTACAAAGAATATATATTTTACTTTAACTAACAACAACAAAACTCAGCTATACCTGGCAATCTCCTCTTTTAAGAGTCTATATTCTATCTTCTTATCTTCTGGTAAAGCCTCTGGAGTTCTCATTGGATCGTTTTCTTTTTCTGATTTTGGAGCAGCTTTGATTTTTGATGCCTGTTATAAACAAGTCCAAATCAATATTACTCACACAAGTTTTAAAATACAGCTATTTGATTGCTATTTCTAAGAGGCGCTTCAGCGCAAACTCCAGATTGTTCAAGGCAAGTAAGATCTTTTAAGTCAGTGTTATTTTTTTCTTTTCCACCAGTAATTAAAGATAAATTCAGTTTCAACTAAAAAAATGAAATCAAAATATATTACAGATTGTATCTACAGAATATTTTTCATAACCAAAAAGCATTTCAATTAGTTTGTGGAATGCAAATTACAATGTAATGGTCCAGACAAGAGTAATGTACTCGTTCTTGTCCATTTCTGATGTAACCCAATATTTCTTGGCCCAGGTCTAAACTTTATACTCTGAATAATTAACAACATCATTACAAAATTAAACATTGGTATCGTTTACCTCAACATTTCTCCTTGCTTCTTTTATCATAGATTCTAGTCCTCCAAATACACTATTAGTTGAGTTAGAGGGCTCTCCATCAGACTCGCTATCATCTGAATCATTTAATGTAACCACAACAGACTTGTGCTTTGGAAGCTGTCAAGGAGGAGGCAAAAAGGGAGGAGAAGAAAAGAACTTTTTATAGTAAGAACAAAAAAAAAAAAACACACAGGAAAGCAGATGCAACTGAGCACATATTTACTAGAAGACAAGGAAAAAAGGAGGTTAAATTCCTTTAATAGTGTATGGCACAATATGGCACACCAATTCCAGGCTGCACAAAAACAGTCAGAAGTTGCGGGACCCCACCAGCATCCAGTCTGGATACTGTAACATGAACGTTACTCCAGCATTTTCAGCCTATTCCCAGTTCTTTGTAGCATTTTTATGGCTCCATTGTCAGAACTTCCGACTTTCCTTAACTTCATAAATTTCAGTGATAAAAAAATCCCCATCTGCCATTTGCAAGAAAGTTTTTGTAAGCAATTGAGAAGTAACAATCAAGCCTGCACTGCAAATGCTGTGGCAGATGTACAAGAACTCCCTTATCTCTGCCACACGTTTTTGATGCCTCTTGTCCAACAGTTATACTTAGCTGACCTGGCATTAAGCTGTTCAGGCAGTTAAATTGGCAGAATACCAACTGTACATAAAGAACCTAAGTAATAAGATTAATTACTTTTTGCCAACATTGAAACTGAACCAGTTCACTGAAGATCAGATGACTGTCAACTCCCACACAAAGAAAGATGGAGAAACAGGCAGACGATTTAGATTAGCCTAAGATGTTATGTAGCTGCAGTTTGAAAAGAGCCAATTTCAAGTCATTTTTCAGGTCTTCTCCTCCTATCTCCTAATGTAGATCTGGAGAATTAAATACAGTTATACCTGTTTAACCTCCAACTCAGAACAGGGCCTCTCCATACTTTCAAGTATCTTCTAAAGCATAAAATAAAACCTATTTTTAAACTGGGAAATAACTGCAGCTGTAACGCTGGGTCTCTTCATGCTGTTCTAGGACACAATTTCAACCTGGGGTGAACAGATTTCTGAATGTCCATGACTATGTCGAAAAAGTTTTGCAAGAGGCAATTGAATAAGCAAACCAATGTCAGTAGGCTATTTACCATGCAGAGGTCTTCAACTCCACAGGAAAAATGCCAAGATCTGCAACTCAAAACCTGTTCTGAAATACGGTACTACATAGTCAAACATACAAAAGCCATCAAGCCTCCAAAACTATGAATTTGGATTTCAGAAGTCTGTTTTTCAATAGCCTTATTATTTTTGAACTCCTCTATATATCTAGTAATGATCACATAGCAACACTATCAATTTCTAGTTCAAAAACTCAGCTCTCATGAATTCACTTTTTTTAGGCTCTAAGAAGAAATACTAAGTGCTATGAGAGTTAATAAAAGCATAAGCAACACAAATGGTTTCAGTAATGCTTAAGATGATAGGAATCACTGATACTGTTTTCACATTGACACATTGAATTGTTTTTACAGAGAAGCATCTTTTGACTAGCCTCCTGTAAACATTAGTTTGGCCATAACTTCCTTGAAATAGCTTTGAATATAGAATAGATAAAATGTTGGATTTTAAACAAATTAGTACTTTTAACCAGTGCAAATTACTCAGCTCTAGCAGTTATCAGCTATATCTACACTAGCAAGTAAGATGGCACAACAGGCACAGATCCGAGGCTTGGTGGCGCTGAGTACCTGATGACCACTCTATTTATCTCAGGGATTTTACTCTGAACCAACACTAGCCTGGTTCCATGAACCGAATATGCATTTGCAACTGGAGCACATTAGGTACACTCTCAGAACTAAGAGTTAACAGAAAGGAACGCTACTTGCATGCTAAAGGAAAAAAAAAACCCACATCCATCTGAAATAAGATGCGTGCTCTGGTGCTGTCCTAAGATGTTAAATTCTTAATTATTCAGGGTCAAATTCTTTCCAGAAGATAAGAGTATACAAATTATCAAGTTAACTGTCAGTTCATATGTTAGCTCCACTGCTCTGTGCTGTATCTCTAGAAAAAACTTATGGCTATTTGCTTGTTCACTCGAACTGAGGACAGCTTCAGTTTGTTGTCTTATTAAGAGAAAGTGCCAATATTTGCTTACTGTGATCACTGCTCGGGGAGGCCTTGGTACTCTGACAAACTTTGTATTTTGTACCCGTGGCTGAGACACAGTATTAATACTGACTGCGGACAGATTGCTTCTTGGCACAGATTGCAAGTTATCTGCAACAGGGGGTGAAGGTGGACCACTGTTACTTGAAGTTTCCTAACAAAATAAATAAAAAAAATGCAGTCATAACACACACACACTCTTTACAGCTGTTTTAAAACATACGAAATGAAAGCATAAATTTTAAGAACGATTTTCACTAAATCACAGTTCCGAGTTCCAAGACACACATGCAACAGGCTACCTGCACATTAGACAAGTCTTGCAATTCTGTGATTATGTCAAAAAGGCAAGTGAGAGCGTTTAAGTTATTCACAGGTCAACTGCACAAAAAACCTGTGACGTTTTAATTATGCCAAAAAACCCTCTAAGTTTTCATAGCCACAAACTTCACCTCCTTCCCCCCGTCCCTTTTTTTTCCCCAAAATCTTAACCATTAGAACTGGCAGGTTTCTTCCAATTCCATTTGCTAGAAGGTTGAAACCAAGTTCCAATGTTTTGTTTCCTGACTGTTAAATAATAAACAATTTAGCAGACAACAAAATCCCTGCTCTCTTCAAACATTCAAATTCCAGTACCTTAAAAGTTTCACAATTCCTTCAGAAACAAAAAAAAAGGTTGCAATTTACAACTCAAAGGGCATCTTTGGCTGTTTTTCATTTTTGCTTCTTTTGAGGAGAGGGGGAGGACAGAAATTCAGGGAACTTGTTTTTAGGCAGCAGAAAGGCAGCATAAAAGGAGCCTATATTCCTCGCTTCGCAGGACAGCTTTAAGTTTAGTTCAAGATTGCCATCTAGAGGTTTACATTCAAAAGCCAATGAAGTACCTCAGATCTGAAAGCTCGTTTGTTGGCTAGAGACTTCAGTAACTCTTCTCTTAATAGCATTTCCTCTTCTTCTTCCTCATCTGCAAATGGAGGTTTTGGTGGCTGCTCAGGCTCTTCAGGTGGAAGAGGTGGGAGAGGTGGAGGTGGCTCAAGAGAAACGCAAGAAATACCCTCTGCATAAAGCTGGCTCAAAGATGGTACAGGCTGAGATAAAACAGAAAACAAATATTTGAAAGTTTTGAGACTTATTGGTCTTTTAGGATCATTTGTCATAGGTGAAGCTACATAAGTTATTTCTTGGTTTAGAGCTAACACACACTGCAGGAGATTTAGACTAATATCAAAGGTGGGTGCTAAACCCTTACTAGTTACCAAGGCAGTGGAAACAGTAACGATACATTCACAAGATAAAGTTAGTATAGACATCCAAACTAACTGTAAATGAGAATTCAGAACCAGAAGTAGTCTATCTAGCCTTAGGAACAATGGATTAGTTTACTCGGCGTGAAGAAGTCTTGAAATAGTTTTACAAATTTGTCTTAGCCACAAAAAATGGCAGTTTCTTTTAGCCAAAAATTTGGTCTCTCATCTCACGGAACAGAAACTTTCTATAGCTTTCCTAAGGAGGATAACATGCACTCAGTGAAAACAGTGGTGCGAAAGAGCCACCTAATTCCATCGTCACATGGACTCTTAGGTGAGAAGACAGAGAGCGTATAGTCAAAATGCACAAAGTTTGAAACAAAAAGGATTGTGATGAGCCACAATTTGTTTTGTTTTTTTTTCTAGGTAACAAGCTAGAGAAAAAGCATACCTATATACATGGCCTAGAGATAAAACGCAAAGTTCCTTTATGCTTAAAATTCCAATCCATTTTTTTTCCAATGTGCTATAGGCAAGTTTTGCTTGCTGTTATGAAATGACATAGTTATAACAACAATAAAGAAACGTTCAGCTCAATAGAGAGCATCTCCGTTGAACTGGATCAGCCAAAAGTAGCTGAAATCAAGAGTTAAAAAAGCAACCATAAGTCTAGCAGGTATTTAAAGGGAATCATCAATCACTTCTGAACTTCTTAATGATTCCCTCAAACTCTATCAAACATTTAAATTTAAGCTTAACTTCAGGATTAGAAATAGACACTAAACGAGAATTATTAACATTTTCAAAAACAGTTTCCTTCCAAGATTACTTACTGGAATTGGAGGTGGCAGTGGCAAGGAAATTGGTGGTACTGGAGGTGGAAAATATCCTATTGGACACTCAAAGAAAGGAGGCTGTACTGGAGAAGAAGCTGTAATCAAAAAGTAAAATTTATCAAGTGTAAGAAATTGGGTAGATAATTATTGAACAGCAACTTACATTTATAATTAAACTGATTTACTGCAGCAGAAGAGGCAGACAAACATTTTTAATACACGCAGCTTTAAAAGGCATGGTGTATACAGTTTCTTTTCCATATATTCAAAGAAAATTAGAGTAGTGTTATTGCCTTGTTTCTATCTTGTACATGAAACACAAATACTCCCCAACAATGCTTCTGAGGGAATAATTCAGCCCTCATATTTGATTTAATTCATAATACCTTCTTAAACTATAAACCTCAACTCAACCTCAACTACTACTCCTGGCTACTGGCCACCAGAGATACCATACAAATTAGGACAAAGGCAGACCAAATGCACTGCTGAAACTGACTTCCAAAACACAAAACTAGAGCCTCAAATGCTTCACCAAGACAAGATTCACATTGCTTACATATTAAAACAGCAGATACAGTATGTTAGAAAACTAAGGAATAAGGAAGGCTGACAAGAAAGGAGAAAAACAAAATGAAAATGGAGAAATGAACAATGAACTGCAAGAGAATAACAATGGCCAAAAGAAGTAGGCTTAGTGAAGCTTTAGCAAGACTACATTTTTCGACACTTTCAGATGGAACAAGGAAGCACAAACAGTTTAAATGCACCTCAAACTCAGTCATAAAATAATTTAGGTTCGAAGAGACCTGTGGAAGTCACCTGGCCAAACTTTGGGGCCAGCCCTGCTTTGAGCGCCTAAGTCAGATCAGGTTGCTCAGGGCCTTATCCAGTCAAGCTCCAAGTATCTTCAAGGATACAGACCGCACAACACTTCTGGGCAACCTGTTCCAATGTTTGGCCATCCTCTTCGGGAATGTTTTTCTTTATATCTAACTGGAATTTCTTTTATTACAATTGCTGCTTGTAGCTTTTTCATGTCCTCTGAAGAGTTTGGCTCTGCCTTCTCTATAACCGCCCATTAGGTAGCTGAAGAGAGCAGTAAGAGCCTTTCTTAGCCTTCTCTTCTCAGGACAAACCCAGCTCTCCCATGTGCTCCACTCCCCAGTGAACTTCACTGCCCTCCACTAGACTCCTTCCAGTAAGTCAGCATCTTTCTCGTACTGGAAAACGAAAAACTGATGTGGTCCTCCTCAATGCTTACGAGGACGGAATAAGCAGTTCCCTTAACACACACATCCCCAGTAATAGTCTCAGTACTGCTGCACAGGCTGCAGTTAGCCTTTATCACCCAAAGGCATGCTGCTGTCTCATGTTCAGCCTGTGGTCCACCAGGCCCTTTTCTGCAAAGCTGCCTTCTACCCACTCAGTACTCAGGGGACTCTGCTTTCTATATAACTGCTTTGGAATATAAAGGAAGAAACTTCAAATTATTCCAATTAGAAAAGTATAAGCCTGAAGACATTCAAAAGATCAAAGCAGCAGAGACACTGGAAAACAATCTCTATAAAGATAAGGCAGAATTAGCTCATCGTAAAATATTATAATTCTACAGCTATATGAGTGCATGTCATATCGCAAAGGAATGAGTTTCCTTCTAAAATGATAGCTAATTTCATACTTTTTAAACTATTTTTAATCAATCACATAGGAAAACTGGAAATAAGACGTACCTGGAGAGTTAGTTTCGCTATCTGTATCCATAGCAACTTCGTCATAATTATCATACTGATATATCCCTCCTGCACTATCCGTAGATTGCTTATCTAAAGACCATCTCAAGTCCGTATCTGAAGACTAAACATACAAAAGTGTGTTTTAATTTAGCTGTCTTCCATTATTCCTTTAAAGAAAACTAATTAAAAGCGACTGTTAGAAGGTAGAACTCTTCTAATTTTGTCTTATAACTGATTTACAAGTACAATTCCACTCAGTGTATACAAAAAGAATAAGCTAAAAACTAACTTTTAATCAAATCTGCGGCAGGTAGCAACGCAGTAAATTTAAGGTCAGTTGTCAAAGCAGAGCTTAAGGGAGGGGGAGAGGCAGGGGAGCCGTGACACACGAAAACAAGGTTTAAACACCTAGCAGGTCATTATATATTTGGCAAATTGCTCTGGTTATGCATTCCTGTAATACTGAAAGAGAAATGAATTCTTTACTGTTTCTGTGAATCTGCCATGGTAATTACCAGCACCTGAGCTACCCTTGTTAGGAATAAGGCAGAAGTGCACAAGGATCATCTCTACTAAGATGAAAGTTGAGGGTTTAGAGGAAACGTGATCTAGTTGTTCTAAAGCTGTTGTCTCAGGTGGGAATCCTTTCGCTGTCCCAAAGCAAGTCACATACCCCACTGAAATACGCCAAGAGACTGTCAATTCATAAAAAATAATGTTTACAGGATGCATAGCACTATACAGATGCCAATGAATGTTCACTGAGCATGAAAACATGCAAAGGGAGGGAGTATTACTTCCCAGACAACCAATTTGCATTCCTTTAGGTTTTTAGCACTTACAATCAAATATTTCAAGCCTCAGTTTCCCAATGACTACTTTAGGACTCTTGTATAACACAGCCTTAAATAGGGAGCCCCAACTCATCTAACTGTACATTTCTCATCACAGCATCAGCAACTCTAGCCACTTCACGCATCTAGCAGCAGCAGCTGTACTGCTCCCATTAAGAGTACACTGAAAGGATTGATGCGAAAGAAATGTTGGGTTCTTCTCTATAACGTACCAATGTTTAACACAGAATATGACTGATTCAAGTGCCTTTTGCCAGTCTCATGATGAGAGTATGAAGATAGCCTACAGGTGCAGCATGATGACCACTGCAGTAACTCCATTACTTTAGGAATTTGACACTAGCCTCCATTATAGGATGAGTTAAGTAATTAGTTATGTTTTGTATCCGAGCACATTTTGTACCTTGACAGATTAGAAAAATACTACAGAACAAAACCATAAAGAGATCACGTTCTGAAGGAAGTAAGCTGCTGAAGCTCTAATAAGACAGAATAATTTTGAAAACATGGAAACAAACAGCAATCCAATAGAGATGAAAGCCTAGAACGTTTGGTTAATTGATTTGTATTAAGTTACAGACTGCTTTTTGGTCCCCATGTTTTGTCCCAAAATACCTCAATGTCCCAAAACACTTTTACGAGGAGAATGCTTACCTGTCACCACTTTGCAAGTGTACAACTCATGACAAACCTATCTTGCCAAAACTAAAGGGAATGGCTGCCTAGCATGGGATTAAAGCACTGCATCCACTGAAATAATTCAAAAAAAAAAACTGGAATAGGGAGAGCAGAATGGTGTAAAAGCAGAAGTCATTCATGGCGCTATATAATACTTGAATACCATATTACAAATTAATTACCCTGCTTCTCGATCTCCTCTTTCCTCCAACTAGCTTCATGAACCGATTGTACTGCTCTTCTTGATTTGAGAGGTCCCTAATTTTTCTGATCTCTTCTTCTCTTTTTCTTCTCTCCTCCTCCTCTTCTTGCTTCCTCTGGTCTTCCTCTTTCTGACGCCTGTCTTGTTCCTTTTGCTGCTGCATCTTCTTCGATGTCTTTGTCGGTTGTTTCCTCAAAGCTTGCTTGGCTTTAAATAAAAAGATTTGTGATTAACTCCACCTTAACTAAATGGTTCTCCAAATCCTACACTCTTCAGGAGCCTGAAGTATTCTGTGGATGATAGTGGTTCTGTATGAAGGATCAAAGGCTCATCCCCTGGCATTTCACACAAGGTATTATATTTTTGTTTATTTCAGAAGACATACTACTGATAGCTACTTCAATAACATTAAACATATTACCTGTAGCACTAGTTTTCTTTGTTGAGTGTGCTTTTGTACTGGCTTTGGCTTTTGGTGTTACAGTTTTTGTTTTTGTTAATTTTTCCTTGCTTTCCTTCATCACCTGTTGTTCTTTCTGCTGCCATTTTTTACTAGCAGACTGGAGGGCGAGGAGCCTAAGCTGCAATTCAGACATCTCCTCCTCATCATCAAGCAGCTTCTTAAAAAGAAGCGGGGTGGGGGGGAGATAACAAAGAGTCAAGAGATGTCATTTAGTAAGTATACAATTGTATATGCAATGTAAGTATGCAATTTGGAGTAAGCAATCAAAATGAAGTCTCAGCTACAGAGGAATACTTTCTTACCTTTTCAGATGTAACATCTGAAGTACTAAGCTTTCGCGCTAATGTTTGTTCTTTGTCTTCTGCACCTTTCAAAAGAAAAATATCATGTTTTTGAATCAGCTGTTTGACATGATACTCAAAACAGAAACACACTAATGGGCAATAAGGGAAAGACAGCAGGGATTTCTATAAAGCTTATACCAGAGGAGCTTGAATCGTAGAGAATTAAAACTCAGGGAAGTTTGTTTCTCTTTTTAGAATTAAGATAAGTTCAACTCCAATAGGTCTGGAGAGACATCCAGGATACCATTTGAAATAAGTATCATGGGAAAAGCAAATGCTGCTAATATCTTAATACATGCAAAATTAACTAGGATACACTTATTGATGCCCATGAATCTGCAGTAACTAAAATCAGCTAGCTATTCCTGCTTTGAAAACCTGTATTATATTGTTATAAAGCATCACTCACATGGTTTAATCTGTCAGCTTTCAAATCATTTTCATACAATACATTGCACTGAGTGGTGCGCACCACTCAAGATGCTCTTAATAAGCATAACACAGCATCTATTTCTACTATAATATTACCTGTATTCCCAACTTCAGTGCTTTTAAGTTTTAAAGTTGGATTTTTTTTTAAGACTGGTTTTGCTTTTGAAATAGCTCTTCTGCTTTTGCCTTGCAGAAGTTCTGCTTCTCTTCCTACAGGCTACTGTTTTTCCTTCTGCTATCAAGATCCGTTGTTTTTATTCATGTCTCCTACTAAAAGCTACATCACCCCTTAAAGAATACCAGAAGTAATTTTTTTTTTATTGATGGGAAAGATATAAAGGAAAAATACCCAGCATGACACGGTTTAACTCCTAGTAATCAGTTTTCTCTTTCAGTTCCTTTACAGGCTTTGTCTCCTAAATTCTCATGCTCAAGATATGAATCATTCTGACTTTCAATGTTCTAGTCTTACCTTACATCACCTTACTAATCACTCACCTGTACTCTTTCTTAATGCCTCTACTTACTACTTTGTCTCTTCCCACTCAAATTGAGGGTTTAGGCACACTGACAAATTAGCTAACACAAGATGACACGTGATACACGTTAACACTCCCTCAGTCACAGCAAACATGATTTATTAAAACTAGCTTAAACTGCCTATTCTTAGGCTTCACTTAACTGCTTTATTTTGCTGCAGATTTAAAAGGAAGCTCAAGGACTTAAACCACAGGTCAGCTGAACATGGCAACTTGTTTCTCACTAACTGGTTCTCATGCCTGAGTTATCACCCTCTTCACCTACAGTCCAAGAACTACCTCAGTTTTATTCAGCACACTTTTTCTATCCTCCAGATATATTTCTTCTATGAATTCTTTCTATTCCTGGCCCACACGATTTCTCCACTATTTGTGTATATCAATTATGACCAAAATAATTCTGGTGAGAAAGTCTCATAAACACTTGTTACACTAAAGAAAGCACATAATAAAAAGATCAAAAACTGACAAAGATGTCTCTAAATATGATCTTCCTGTTCAGTCTAAAATAAAAATTAAGTATTTTTGCATCAGCAAAAGAGAAGTGACTAGGCAAAAGAGAAGGAAAACTCTAAGTGAAAGCCAATGATTTTGCTGAGAACAGCAATTACAACCTTCAAATCTTGTCCTCCCCTTTCTGACAAAAAATCAGCTAGTGCAATAAAGGACATGAGTTGAAAAAACTAATCACACTTCCAAGCAATTTGAAGGAATTAATTAGAATAGGGAGGAAACATATCTACCAGTTTAAGTCTTGAATAACATTTTTAGGTTTGTCAAAATCAGACTCAGAGTTTTAAAACGTTCTTCTCATGCCACTTCATAGCGAAAAATAACAATTATGATGCTACTGTAAGGCAGCATTCAATATAAAGCTACATTTGACCTTTACAACAGTAAAACGTTGTTACTGTTTTAACTCCAAGTTACTTTAGGAAAAGAACCTGAGTGTTGTATGGGTTACTAAAACACTGCTGGTTTAATACACGTTTCTCTCTCTCTTTAGAAGAGGCATAAGTGGGAAGCACGACTGACTAATTAAAAATTGGCTATTTTCTCTTTCTGAGGCTATGGTTCAACAACACAGCATATCCAGCTTTAGAGCTCTTTCTGCTGAACTTTTCTGCCACTGAGGAGACATAACACCTTTGTTGACAGAAGTAAAGAGAGGAATCACATAGCCAGAAGCAGGAATAGAGAATTTATCTTCCTGTATGAAGTATCTTCTTAATTTCAATTGTGGCGGGCAACTAAACTTACAGCTATGAAAAAGGAAAAAAAATAGAGATGTATGTTTCTTCATTCATCTTCAAACTTCTCTAGAAGCAAGCTCTTTCCATTAATCTTTCTAAATAAAAACATGCATCAAAATATTTTTTAGTGATATAAGCATCCATTTCAGAATTTCTGACAAAAGAGTTAATTCCTTTAAAAATACAGCAAGCCCAGTATTTTAATTCAAGTAGTAGAATATTCCCAAACAGATAATAAATAAATAAAAGGATGCTCAAATGGCAAGCTAAAACAACTTTACAAATATTTACCTTGGCTGGATTCTGTGACTTCAGATTTTTGTGATGACTGCTTTATTCCTTCTTTGACTTTTTTCAATCTGCTCCTCTCAGCTGGAGTAGACAGTTTTTGTCTGAGAGGTTTCAGTTCAAATGCCTGAAAGGCTATAACCTGATTTTTCTCCTCAGGAGATACTTCTTTTATAGCATCCGTTGTAATACTGTCATTTTCTACAGTTATTTGGTCCTCAGTGTCCACTGTTTTATCATCATCTTGTTGCTCCGTTTCTTCCCTGTTGCTCAGAGCCAGTCTTTCATCTTTATTAATGTATTCAAGCTCAAGCTGTATTTGCTTATATTTCAAGAGCAGATCCTCAAAACTTTCTTCCACAGAGTTTTCATTTTTAGAAGAGTAGTTCTGTTTTCTTGATGGGGACCTTCCAAAAGTTTTGGCTGAATTACGGGTTAAGAAAATTAAGATTAAAATATTTATAACCTTAAGACAGCAGATACCTTACCAAGGAAGACAAAATTGTGACAAACAGAACTTAAAATCCATTCTCATACATTGTAATTTTTACCTTAAGCCTAGCCTGAAAAACTGTCTCTTATAAATCAATAAGAGTAGCATGGAAAAAAGATATATCCACTACTATATATCGACAATTTCAATAATTTATCAAATCAGTAATTCAAAATATTTTAATAAATACAATTTCATAACTTGCTTAGGAGTCTTCTCCCTCTTGCTCACGTCACCCTCCTGGAAACAGCAGCTCTAATACTGAGAAGGTACCATACTACAGTTCACCTGAAAGTAAGTCAGAGTTAGTATCTCTACTACTGACTCCATATTCAACATTTTGAAAAAGACGGGCTAAATTCATTCTCACTCATTTTATCCTTTCATAATATGCTAATAAGGTCTAGCCACAGCACAGTTAAAAGCTGCAGGAACTGTAGCCTAGTAAACAGAGTGAGGCATAGAATAATCAACAAATGGGGAGTGAGGAGGGGAACAAGAAAGGGCTAAACACTTGCCACAAAACATTCAAGAAGATGGTAAAAGAGGATTATTTATTTTTTAATTAATTTACTCATTATAATGAGAATAATATTATTTACTCAGAACTGGTTCGTTACGCATGCCCCACAGATACAGATTGTCTAGGTGCCCGTTTTGACAAGCTGCTCAAGGTAGGCAATGGAAATGCACATCTTCGTCAACTGCACCCAGAAAATCCTATACGAAAAGCTCTCCCGACTAGCAGTTCAATTTCTTTTACCTTAACCTGACACTTACAAAGCTAAAGTACCCAGCAAAAAATTATCCTGGGGGAAAAATATTTTAGGCCACTAATGAGTCAGGTTTGATTCATTCAACTTTCAGTGTCAACCTCCTGTGATAACAGCCGACTCACTCTGTAAGTCAGTTGAAATGCTTTTTCCATTAATGTCACGTCTTAAAACAATAACGTAGTAAAACTTAAAGCTAAAAGAGGGATTATTTGAATGCAGGGATACTGAACAGAGAGGAAGACAACTTTGTATTTGTCTTCCGCTTACAACAGGCAACAACAACTTGGACGTTTCACTATGCTAACTTCTAACACAAATCTGAAGAATCTTGGTAAGTATCCTACAAAAACAACTTCTGTAACAGCAGGAAATCTTTTGCTGTACAATAGCTCCATCACAAAAAACAGATACTAGTCAGGATACACTGTAAGGAAAAAAAAAATTTGTAATAGCTAGTACTTGATTGCCTTCCAATCTGAATTAGTTCTATAAATATGTGGAAAACACATCAAAACATAAAGAGCTGTGCACAGCACAACCCCAAATTATAACAGGCACAGCTGCCAAATTCACTTTCAACTCATTTCTACTTCAAAAAAATGTAATTGCATTAGTAATTTTGTGAGCATCCACAGAAAATTCCAAAGTTATTTTTATAAGTGATGATCACTTAACTAAGTCTAACAGTTATTTGATATAAAAATACTTCAATAGCTTCAGGGGTCATCTAGAGCTGGGGAACAAGATAAAAAGTTTTGAGATGTCTTTTGAGCTTATGATAATTAAATGGCTAGAGCCTCCACGACTGTATTCATCACGCATTCTTATAAACGTATCACACGTAAGAATTTTTTTTGTATGTGGTTCTACACATAGAATTCAAGACTGAATGGAGGGTTATGAGAGGCAGAGGGGAATGTATTAAAACAAGTTATTCTCCAATCAACTCAGAAGAATCTTCATCATGCAACAAAAAGAGACCAACTGATGAAACTAGGAGTCAGAAGTGTAAAAAAAATGTATACTGTTCAGAATTCAATGGCAATCAGAAAGTCACATTTTTGTCCCATGTTTCAGTCTCAAAATTCCACAGTTTTCTCTCTCTGAATAACAATTTCTGCAGAAGGCTTATCCAGACACCTTTATCTTAAAGTTGCTAGGAATTAATTAAGAAAAAAAAGCCTGTTAAAAGCTAATACCCAAAGAAAAGAATTCTAGAAGATCAGCATCGCACCCTGCCACTTATATGCTCTCATTCTCATGCTCCTACACAGTACGTGCAAAGTGCTAGTTCCAAGAAGGAGGCCAAGGATGAAGAAAAAAAATGCAGGTAGATCTCTTGAAATATTTCATTTTCCATGAGGAAATCCAAACATCACTCCAGGACACGAGTCTCCTCATAACAGTTGAGGTGAGGGCTACTTCTGAAGTCACATGCCCATGAATTATGCCTCTACTCCACTATTATCAGCAAAGTATGGAGGTACCTTAATATTTCGGGCTACTGTAATACCAGCTCTTTTGGGTGGAAAGGCTATGAAATACAGAAAAAAAAAAGTAATATTTTACAGAGAAATTCATGATCCTTCCTTCACTACATGGCCCATAAATAATTGAAAGTCATTTTTTAAGGAGCAATAGCATTAGATCCTTCTCTATAACGTTTAAACAGAAGATTGTAGCTAAGCATGGGCCTAACACACAAAAAAAGTTTCTCACTTGCTTCTTTTGCTTGGAAAATTGAGTCAGCAGTTTCTGAATGCTCTTTTAATTAAGAAGGAGAAAAACACTTTATGTTAGCATTAATAAACATTGTAACATCTCTTAAAGGTGATCAACATTTGCCCCACAAACTATTTGTTACATGGAAAGTCATCATTTTCTGGTACTCAGAGCAACATTGCGAATTAATAGACTTAAAATCTATTTTCAGCACTATCACTGTCTTACTGCGCGACCTTGGGCAAATCACATTTTCACTTGCTGCCTCTCAAGATAAGAAAACATTCTTGAATGAAGAGTTCGTATAAAGACTTCAGTAAGACTCTAATGTTACCAGATGAAATTAAATAAGAACACCTCTTTACCTCTAGTTTACATCGTCTCTTCACATTCAAAGAAAAAAAAAAAGTTAATGACACAGATAAGTGATCTTGGATTAAAAATAACAGAAGGATCCAACAAGTAGCTTTCAAAGCCTTAAGTCCTGGCACAAGTAGGAAAAATCCCACAAGCAATGCTATGTATGCCTTTATACAGAAATAGGGCTTTCCCATATTACCCAAACCCCCATATAAAACATACTCTGTGCATACAGTCCCAGTTCAAGTTCGGTTTAAAAAGTAGCTCTGAACTTGACTTTAGCTATGCATAAAGCCCTCTGAAGGGCTGTAAGCGAAAATGCAAAAACAGTGGATCCTTCATTGCCCAACAGGGGAAATTAACAAGCTTAGGGTTTTAGTTTTACAACTATGACACGTTAATTACATATATTAAAACTGCCTCACCAAAGACTGACCCTACTTCACAATATTTTCACTTCAGGCTAGAAAAGTAACCACCTGGGATCCAATCGACTACGGCTTTGTTTCAGGCTACGCTTTTTCTTTTTCCCTAAACAGGGCTGATGGGCCAGGCTGCAAGCCGTTTCACAGGAATAAACCCGCTTCCGACCGAAAAGCAGAGCCCGCCGTCCGGGCCGCCCTCGGGCCGCTCCCC